GCTCTTGTTTAGCACTTTTTCTCGTAAGAAAAAGATGTCTAGTTCCATATGCTTGGTCCTAGCATGTAGAATAGGATTGTGTGACAATGACACAGTGCTGAGATTGTCACATAGCAGGACAGGTGTAGTAAATGGCATCTTGAGCTCAGTAAGCAGTGACTGTATCCACAACACTTCTGCAGCAGAATTAGCAAGGCTCCTGTACTCTGTCTCTGTACTAGACCTTGTAGGAACCTGAGGTGGATTTCCTATCATCAGGATCTGCTCCCCAGTCAGCATCAGAAAAAGCTGTAATGGAAAGGGGAACTTGAGTGTTAGCAGCCTGCAGATGCAGCCCATGACAGAGAGTCCCTTTAAGGTACCTGAGAATCCTTTTAACAACAGTCCAATGGCTTTTAAGAGGATTAGACAGAAACTGGCAAGCTTTGTTGACTGCATAACTGATCACAGGCCTAGTAATCGTGGCATACTGCAGTGCCTTAACAACTGACCTATAGAAAGTAGGATCCTGCACCACATCTGTGCCATGTTTGGTAAGCTTAAGACTAGATAGATATCATGGGGGTAGACACACCATTAGCCTCACTAAGATTAGACTTGACCAGGAGATCTTTTAGAATTTTTGTCTGAGACAAAAACAGGGATCCATCCTTTAAGTGAGATACCTCAATACCCAGAAAGTACTCCAATTCTCCTAGCTGTTTAAGTGCAAACTGAGCATGCAGTTTATTGACCAGTTCCTGAATATGCTGTGCAGAATTTCTAGTTACAATTATATTATCCACATATACTAACATAATGATAGTATATGAGGGTGTGACAAGGGTAAAAAGAGATGGATCACATCTGCTAGAGGAAAAACCAAACCCCTTTAGGGCTGAAGTTAGTTTCTCAAACCAGGCTCTAAGCGCCTATTTAAGCCCATAGATGGCTTTGTTTAGTTTGCAAACAAGAGAGGCATCACTGGAAACTTCAAAGCCAAGAGGCTGCAACATATACACTTCCTCCTCAAGTGTGCCATTAAGGAAGGCATTATTCACATCCAATTGTGTGATATGCCACCTCTTGGAGATAGCTATAGTGAGCACAATTCTAACAGTTACATGCTTAACCACAGGTGAGAATGTCTCAGTAAAATCAAAGCCCTGTTGCTGGTGGAAACCCTTGTCAACAAGTCTTGCTTTGTACTTGTTAAGGGTTCCATCAGGGTTTTGTTTTACCTTGAACACCCATTTGTTCCCTATGGCCTTCCTATGAGGAGGCAAACTGGTTAAAGTCCAGGTGTTGTTTTTCAAGAGAGCCTGATATTCATCAATCATAGCAACTTTCCAATGGGGATCTTTTAGGGCAGCTTTATAAGATGTGGGCTCCAGTTCAATAAGAAGAAGGGTGGGATGCTGTCTGGGTTGTACTATGCCATTCTTCCTCCTAGTGGTCATAGGATGCACATTGTTAGGGTGTAAAGGTGGCAAAGAAGAATTATCTGCAGGGACATTAGAAGCAGACAAATCAGATGTAGAGCTAGAGACAGAGGGCTCAGATATAGGTGCTAGAGAGTTAGAACTGGAGCTGACTGAAGTGTTGTTGTTGGTCTGAGCAGGTGATATGGGACTAGAAAGAGAGAAGCTGGCTCAGGGCTGATAGAAACTGAGGGGTGAAGACTGCTGGGATGAAGACTGATGGGAAATGGTGGAGATAAAGGGATAGAAGAAACAGAAGGAGCTTCAGTAGTCACACTCTTGGCATAGAGAAACCTATCTTCATTAAACACTACATCTTTAGAAATGTAGATTCTACCATTGGAAGCTAGGCACTTGTACCCTTTGTGATTGGAAGAATATCCCAGGAAAGTGCATTTTTGTGAGTGAAAATTGAACTTATTGGGAGAATAAGGTCTGAGGTAAGGGTAGCAGGCACACCCAAACACCTTGAGAAACCTGTAATCAGGGGCACATCCATACAACATGAAATAGGGAGATTTCATGGCTAGAAGAGGAGTGAGCATTCTGTTGATTAGATAAGTGGCAGTGAGGCAGGCATGATCCAGAATTGCAAGGGAAGACTTGCTTGAGACAACAAAGTCAGCCCTGTTTCAACAACATGGCTGTGCTTCCTTTCCACAATGCCATTTTGATGATGGGTGTGAGGGCAAGCAAGTCTGTGTGCAATGCCCTTGGTGAGAGACTGAAACTCCCCACCACCAGTCTGAACTGATTTTACAGCAGTTCTGAACTGTACCTCTACAGCAGCGATGAAGTGTGTGATGGTGTGCAATACACCAGACTTTAACTTGAGAGGAAACACCCATGTATATTTAGAAAAAGCATCTACACAAGTCAGCAAGTATTTATATCCACATGTTGAAGTCATAGGAGCTGGACCCCATACATCCAAAAAAAAAAGTAAATCAAAAGATTCATTATGAGTTGTGTGTGAAAGTGTACTAGGCAGCCTATGCACTTTTCCTAGGCAGCAGGGAACACAGAAATCCAAGGGAGACTTGTGTGGCACCAGAACATTGAGAGATTGCAGAGTTGACTTGAGCACTTCATGGTGAGGATGCCCCAGCCTATTGTGCCATAAGTTGTAAGTAGATGCTGAAGTAGAAATTGAACCACTTGTGATATGATTTATTGAAGGCAAGAGTTGGAAAGGATCAAAGGAGTAAAGACCATCTTTATTCACCACACCCTGCAGTAGCACTTCATTGGCCTGTGTTTTGACAAAACACCTATCAGCATGGAATAAACACAGTTATCCTTGGCAAACTTGCTGACGGACATGAGATTATTAGTGATAGCTGGCACAAGTAATAGGTGATTGAGTGTAAGAGTGGTGTGTGTGTGCAGAGGTGAGACAAAGGTAGTTGAGCCAATAAAAGTTATAGGGAATCCTTGCCCATTTCCAAGATAGACCTGATTACCAGGGAGTGTCATGCTTTCAGACATATAGGCAGCATTGTTGGTAACATGGTGAGTTGCTCCTGATTCAGGGTACCAAACTTGAGAAAGTTGACCAACAGCAGCTGCAGTCGCATCTGTACCTATACCAGTGAAATAAGCTTGTGGTTGTTGTGCTGGTTTTGCAGGAAACCCTGGTGGTGGTCCTCTTAGAGCTGGTGTAAGCCACTGATTAGGAGTAGGAGCAGTCCACTGTGATTGAGCAGGCATAGGCATAGCTGGAGCACTTTGAGTCCACTGATTCCAGTTCTGATACTGAGGGTGTGACACCTGAGCTTGTGACCACATGTTAGGCATCATTGCTGTGTGTCTGTGATAGCACACACTAGCATCATGTCCCATCTTATGACAAATCTGACACTGCACCTTGTATCCTCCACCAGAATGACCACCTCTGCCCCTGTAGGCTCCACGTCCACCACGAAAACCTCCATGTGAATCACCATAGCCAGTCACAGGACCATATGTAGCTTGAACTGAAGCATCTTGAGCAGTCTGTGTCGCATCTGCAGTCACAGGAGGTGTAGCCTGAGCTACGTTGACAGAAATAGGTTCAGCAACCACACTCTTCTTAGCCTTCTCTAGTTTCGCTTCATGAGAAAGAAGCATAGATTTAGCTTCAATGATAGGACAAAGATGAGGCCTGTACTGGATGATTGAAGCTAGGGCATTGTACTCCTCTGGTAAACCATCAAGAATGGCTTCAATTTGATCACGATGCGAAATCGGATTGTCAATTGACTCAAGCACGTCCACAATTCGTTGAATACGAGCAAGATACTCTGTAACCGTTTTCTCCTCTTTCGTAATCGATTTGAGCTCCGAACGAAGTTGGCGCGACTTCGCATTTGTGTGCACGAACATGTATTTGTGAATCTCATCCCAAATCTGATGAGAATGCACACAACGAACAACGCGAGGAAGAACGGAGTCAGACAAGGTGGTGAGAAGCCACGTGAACAAGAGCGAGTCCTGTTGCTCCCAAGAGACATACGCTGGATTTTCTGCATCGTTCTCACGATCTGCTTCAGTGAGATAGCGTGGAGGAACGATAGGACTCACCAGAAGACGATGAAGTTTGTGCGTTTTGATGATCCCTTCGACTTGTTGTTTCCACGAATGTAAGTTATTCTCATCAAGTTTCAGAGTAATTTGTTGCGCAAACGTCTTGAACGCGTTCTTCACGTTGAGCGCCGCCGTCGCCGGCGTTGCACCAGTCGTGTTCTCAGACTCACCATCGGAAGCCATGGCCAAGGATCGAGCTTAAGCTCTGGATACCATGTTAGAAACGTAGTAACAGTAGAAAGGAAGAAGAAAGAGAAAGAAAGGAAGAGAGAGAAAGTAGATCTGAAACTCTAACAGAATCATATATTACAATAGAGGACAAGACTGAGTTATATACTCAGCACAGGGATATTACAAATTTACCCTTTCTACTGTTGATGTATATATTCTAATATGCAGGCATTCTAGTGACCATTTTTAATTTAGCAACTGCATTATATTTTTAAAAGTAAAACTTGTATTAAATTATTTATAACTACCTCAACATTTAATACCCAAAGATGTTTGAATAAGATGGCACACGTCGGGCATTTGAATCCAAGGTTGGGTATGCCAAACATTAAAACTTAGGTAGAGCTTGCTGCCATAATACTCAAGGAATTATCTCTACATTTGTGCATGGTGAATACCCAGTTTATACCTTAAAAGCGTAACGTATTTGAAAGTAAAATTAACATATTTGGAATAGTTTTAGTAAAATGTAATTGATATAAAAAGCTTAACATATTTTAAAGTATAAGACATAGCATATTTGTATTAGTTCTAGTAAAATATAATATGAGGCTAGGATACCCGGTTTATACCAAAAAAGAGCATATTTAAAGGTATAAAGCTCAATATGAAGCTATTATTTAAGTTTCATTTTTGTGTTGTATTTATTTTAATGGTCATATAGCTGCAATAACTAATTTTAATTTGAAGCTACCTATGGCTGTGGACTTGACTGGTTTCATATGGCATGTTTTCCAGGTTGACATGGATATGGAGGATGATCTTGATGATGCTTTACTTGTAGTGCAAAGCAGAGAAGCTAACAAAGCTGTTGACCCTCCTGTCAGGGATGATGAAGGTAATGTGCTCTAACCAGTTAGTATGTATGGCTGTATCTATCCTGTTAATTTCGTTTTTTTGACTACATATTGTTCCGATCAGTGTTGTTAAATAGAGGCTATAGCGTAGCAGAGTTTTAGTATATCACTATTGTTCTGCTATACATTATTTAATACAAAATATGGTCAAATAACAGCTATGGTGGCGATATATCACTAATGTGTAGCGGAATTTGAATAAACCACTGCTCTCTCTGATTAGCAATTGACAACACTGCATCTTATCAGTGATGCCCAACTGTAAGATAGTACTAGTGCATCTTATTTTTCTTTATAATATTGGATGAGGTCATATTGACATGGGTTTATAAGTTTATAACCAATTAGATACTTGACCTGGCCAAACATAGAAAAACAAGTATCCAGTCTAATATGGGAAGTATGGGTCTATCTAGATATGTTATTTCATCTCTTCCCCTCCCTCATGCTATTCTTTTTTCAACCCTTTATCTGGTCGGAAGAAGATAAATAATTAGGGAATAGTACATGGTTAGAAGCAATGTTGGTAAGCTTGCGAGTATACCCGTTGGATTGCACGATCCTGCAATCCGAAGACCCTTGTTTGTCTGCGCTGCCGCTGCGGGATACACATCCTAGTCCACTGGCAACTGCAGCTGTGACGCCTCCTCGTCCAACAGTTACACAGTATCATCTCTGGATAATTATCCGGTTGGAGTTTTTAGATTGGCTTTATTTCTGTCTTTTATGCCTCTTCACTGTGGTTAGCCTTTTGCAATATAGGCTCCATAAAGGATGGGAAGAGATGGGATGCTGAAGAGGAACATCCAACAGAAGTCAGAGAACTGGGTAAAAGCAAATGGTCAGAAGATTTTGGTGAAGATGACCTCTGCCAAACTGAAGGTATGAAGGGCAATATTAATGCTCTGTCTGGGTTAATTCATCAATATGGCAAGGAAAGAAAATCTGTACATTGGGGCGATCAGGTATGACATGTATTTGATGCTATTGTGTGAAAGCCTAGAGAGTAGTATTTGAAGTCTGTTTCAACTTTAGTATTATTGGTAGCAAAAAATTGTTTTCTTGCTTAAATTCTTTTGGGTCACATGGGAGGTGTAGAAAGGGAGTAAGGAAAAGGGTATAATGTAGGCACTGAACAATGACATCAAGTATACCACGGTAAAGTTGTTCAGGGACATGAGTGCTATCCATCATATGGTTTCTGTTTTTTATTTTTTTATTTCAGATTTTCTTAAATGCGTGTAGGTGTATTTGTTATCTTTTTCTACTCTTTTTTCTTTCTACCCGAGTGTTTTGCTCTTATGATTGTTGAGATTATGAGGGCGCGTAATATATAAAATAGGAAATGAATTAAAACATTATATTTAGGAGTTTTTGTTATGTTTAGTGGTGTGTATTAAAACACAGCCACAACTGAAATACCCGTACAGCCTGTTTTTGATGCTTATATTATGGATTAAAATCATCTGTCCCTTCAATTAGATAATATGATATATTGCTAAATTTTTCTCTTTTAAATAGTGTAGCACTTTCTCATCTAGTTTTTTGCTAGGCATTATTTTCTGTTTTGATGTACTAGAAAAAAGGACATACAAAGGGGACAGTTGATTTGATTCCTTTCATTATAGGCATTTTCTTAATGTCAGCACCCCTTGCCCTCGTTCTTTGCAACCATTCTTTCAGGTTGGCAAAACAGGATTTTCAATTGGGACTGCAAGGAAGGTAACCGCATTGTCTTTAGTGATTGGGCCCGGTGCTGGATACAACCTGGTTGGTTATTTTGACTTCATCACTTCATATTGCTTAAATTTTAGGAACAACATTTACTATTATTTAGTTGCCCTCTTCTCTTTTTTGGGTGGTAATTTGATAATATCTGTCTTATCTGACATTTTAGGCTCGTTTGGTAAAATTAAACATAGTTAAAAATCTAACTTACATAGCTGATGTCTGATAGTTGAATAGTTGGTTGAAATTGAAGTGTTTTGATAAAATCAGCTTTTAAAGTGACTAGTAAATTATAAAATGACACAAGTACAACAATGAAACCTTATCCTAGTAAGTGAGGTCTGGCTACATAGATCAAACTAAGCCATAATGTTTACTTTTTATAAATTTTTATAAATTAAATTTATTAACTTTTTTTACTTACTATATTTATTTATTATTTTAATTCCAAAATATTTTTCGTTTTTCTAATGGCCAGTATTTTTCAACTTTTTTTTCTTTATAATATGATGGAATAAGTTTGTAAGCTAATTCAATAAGCTGTAACCTTGTTTATTGACATTAGCAAACAAAGCCGAAGGTTTTGTACACTTGTTTCCTATTTTCCTTTGTGGAAGCTAATATGTTGTACTTGTATGTATTAAGTATTCTGTTGGCTCATTTTTGACAAACTCGATGTTTTTTGGATTTTAAAGAAGGGTGTAAAATTCAGTCTACTTTTCAATTGAAAGACTTTTTTATGAAACCATTGTATCATGTTTTTATTCTACGCAGAAGTCAAATCCGTTATCTGAAGAGGAAAGTCCAACCCAAAACAGTGCGGAACCAAAGAAGCACGGCACATTTCAGGAACGAATCCGGGCTGAACGTGAATCATTCAAAGCTGTCTTTGATGGGAGACGTCCACGGATTTGACTTGTAGAGAACTGAATCAGAAATTTGGTTTACTGTGTGATTAATGTATTAGGCTAGTTAAGTAAAAGGAAGTTGAGTTGTTTAGTTGGCTGGAAATGAAAAACACATGTCCCTAGCCAAGTTTTGTGAAATTATGTAGAATTTTATCAAAAGGTTAATGCGAAAGTTATATTCCCCGATTTGACAAGGTCAAGTCGGTGTCTGTATTTGTGCATTTTTGTCGCAGTAGACTAACACTCTTATGTTGATTTTTTTTTATACAATTGAATTGATGACTTCTTATGTCCTAGTCAGTGTGGGATGTAAAAATTTCTGTTTGGGATATATTTGGACTAAAAAGAATTATTTCGATTTTTTACTATATAATACTAAAGAACTGCTACTACATTAAACTAGATACACAGATGAAAACATATATCTCAATATAGATTCATTTTTTTCTCTTAATTTATATATATTTTTATATATATTTTTTAACCATAACTATATTATATTTATTTAATATTATTTTAATATTTATATCGACTTTGTGTAATCCGTGCGTTCATATGGGTCCCTTTCTAACTTAAAAGTGAGTTAAAAAAAATTATAAACTTTAATTTTTCATGTGAGAACTAATTTTGCCCACAATCAACTTTGTTTGTGATCAATCAAACATATCTAATTAATTTTATATATCTAGAGTTAATTCAAAATCAAAATTTAAAGCAAAACAAACAATTGGAAGAAGATGATGCATGTCAATTAAGTCATGGTGAATACATAAGTGTAAATTAATGGACTTAATTTTATGGGGACAAGAAAAATATATAATAGTATTACTATTATAGTATGTATGAAAGATATTTTTTATTTTCATGTTGGGGCCCTAAGTATTTTGTCTTGCATCCACCTCGCCATAGAATATGCTTGCATCTGAGATTAAAAAGATGTAAAGTAAAATCTAAAAAGGAGAAATTGTGATGAAAAATGTATAATAGTAGTATATATCAGAGAAATTTTATATGTTCCCACACGTATTTCTCTTGCATCCACCTAGCAATAGTAGAATATGCTTGTTCTTTTACTTTATATTTACATCTGAGTTACTCTACTTTTTTGCCCTTGATTTTTCAAATAAGATCAAAGGGGGGGACAAATACAACATAATTACAATAGCTGGCTAAGGTTTTGGGTCTGATCCTACAATCTAGATTAGCCTCGGCTTGAGTTTCTAATAAGTTTGGTAATCAACATGGGTTGTTTGGTACACATTTTACAGAACCTGCATATTTAGTAATTTCTGCTGCAAAACTCCCATGCTTTGCCGGGATATTATCATTCGGCATTGCAACCTTTTTCCCAGACTGTTTAAAAAACGCTCCATTCATCATCAAGTCGTTCTCTGATATCCAATTCCAATTCTTCCACACACTTTCAGGTGAATAATCCCTCTTTGTCACCTCTTTTGCATTTCGGTCTACAGGAGCAATAAACCTGTTACCCTGGCTCAGTATAGTGGGATGTGTGCTACCACCAACCGCATACATAAGCCAATGAGTATAGTCATTGTTAACAATATGAAAGAAACCCCATCTGCACCTCGGCATTCTCTGTATCAATCCTTTCCCAAAATGATTGAAAGCTACTGTTATTTGCATTATTTTATCTCCCGAGAACAGATCACTTGCTCCAAATAACATAACCTAAACCAAAACATCAAAAAAAAAAAAACATAAATAACATAATCTGCATGCGTGCAAACAAAAATAAAGTTGATGTACGGTGTTAATTAGTTACATGGTCTTGACGTGTCATATGACAGTTGGAAATGGTTATAGCGGTTGATCCCGCTACGACATCAATCAAACCATCAAAACAATTCCACATTGAAATGTGATCTATCCAAATATGACTAGATCCAAACACTGATATTCCATCACCATCACTCGTCGAACGTTGTCCAAAGTGACTCATCGAGTCTCTCATCAGTCCACCACTAACTGGTTTAATATCATGGACGTGTAACCCATGAATGATGATATTTTTCACATATTGCATTGTTATTTGAGCACCTCCACTAATATGAACATTTGCACCACGTGCATCTATTGTCTTGTGATCTGTTAGTAGAAGCTCCGCTTTCAATCTGATGGTCATGCTCTGTTTAAAAATGATCCATAAAGGCTCTCTTTGAATGGCTGCGTGTCGCAATGTCCCTGGTTTCGGGTTAACAAGGTCGTTGTCGGATGGATCTGTGACAACATAGATTTTACCATCTTTGCCTCCCGTCGTGCCGTGACCAAAACCTAGAGCACAATCTGCTAGCTTCTTGCGATTCTTTTCCCAATTAGGATCACATCTCCAGCAGCTATCAATCGGATTTGTGGCTTTGCATGGACCTAAGCTTTTCGTCTTTCTGGATAAACTCCTCCGTGTAGCATTGTAACCACTGAAAACCCTGCATATATACATGAAATTTCATGTTATAAGGTTATTCATAATAAAAGCAAAGAAAATATAAACAAAAAATGATATACCCGTGGACATGGTTATTGAAAGTTGCAGCAACACCCTGAGGGTTTAACTGATAAGCCTTATGTGCAGCCTTTGTGGCTTCATTAGATCGTCGTTGCCAGTGTTGGTCGAAGTGAATTATGTTAGCTTCAAAGGTAGGGAATATAGCAAGATAAAATACATACAAAAAAAGCAATCTAAGCTTGTTGGTTTCCATTCCAACAATGTTTGTTTAAACCTTATCAAGTTTTTGTGTGTGTCTTGTTTCTTTTATTATGTTTGAAATCCTCTTTCCTGATTTTGTGATAGGTCCTACGTACACGGTATTATTAGATCCTCTTAGTGCTATATTTGCATGGAAAAATAGTAAAATATCAACCAAAATGCATGCTTTGATTCTGCTTCATGTGCTATATATTTGGGGGAGGGATTGTGAGCCTTTATAGACCATAGATTTGGCTGCTTTTTTAAAAATGAAATACTATAATATGGGGAAGAGTATATGCATGAGGCATCAGCCGTAAATCTCTGAATGAATATAGGCAAATCCTTTATTTGGATGGTTTTATACTTAGTCTATTTGCTTAATTTGTTTCTCCAATTTGGACTACATTGCATGTCAATTATTTGTATGAGTTGATTATATGTGTATTGTCATTAATACTATATATAAGAGTAAGTAGCTTGAAGTAATGAGAAATAATAAGTGAAAATAATATTTGCACCAACTTGGTATTGTTTCCACACTGTACATTACCATTAAAGTGTGTGAACCATACATAATTAGCTATTAAATGGATAGGGAGAATGAGAAACATCATAATAGTTTGTTTTCAATGTTAGTATTTGAGTGAAGATTTATGAGTTTTAGTTTTCATTGATTGAGAAGGCTTATCATAGTGAGTTTAAAGAAATTTTGTGTAATGCCTATGAGAAGAAAGAAATTATGATTGTTTATATTTGAAATATCCAAAAGATGAATATACGAGGGAGGATATTGACCGGTGTGAAGACGAAAGATAAATAATTTTTCTATGACAATATAATTACGTCAAGGTTCAATCTTAAACTCGTACTTTTTTACTTTGATTTTGGATGTAACTGAAGTAATATTTATTATATATGCGTCTTTTTTTTTTAAATCACTTTTCTCCGCGGTCCATATAAACAACCATGGTAAAATGTGAAGGGAGACATGCTTCGAATCTTGGTACCAACAATTTTATATTTTTCTTTATAAAAAGGGTGTTTTCACCAATTAACAATCATGGTTAAATATCAGGGAAATTTCACCACGGTTTCTTTTATTAACCGTGGTAAAATGTTTTACCTATATAAGCTAACTTGATTCACTTCAAAACATATTGTGCTATAAATTGAAACTCTAACTTCTCTCATCTTATCCCAATCTCACAAAACACCAATATATCTTTACAAAAATGTAACATATAACTTCTCCAACTAGTATATGTCACTTCTCCAACTAGTATATGTCACAAATCTTTGCAAGACGAAACACAAAATTCATTTCTTTTTCTTCGTTTTCCATAAATGTTTTCAAGGAAATGTACATACGTGAAACATGAAAGAACAAGATTAGTTCTAACCTATCTCAAGAGTTTTGATGATAACTAAATTATATTTAAGATAATTTATACTCTGATGAATGTGTTTGAATGTCTCAGTTAATGAAAATATTCTGAAGTGCTAAGCAAAAATTATGTAGAAGTTCTTTGATAAAAGAACCTTTTCTTCAAGCGCATTTGCTGACTCAGGTAAGACACTTTATTTGTTAAATATATCTTCTAACTTTTAGCAGGTTCCTTGCTCAGAAGATTACTTGAAAGCAAGCGTTGTTCAAGTTCTTAGCAAGCAACGCACTGTCTAGAAGATGAGTGAAGCATGTTCTGACTTAAAGACATTGGAGCAAATTCTGAAATAACGTTAAGATCAACTTGTCTTGTCAAAGCGAATGAAACATGTTCTTACATTCTGTCGTTTTCTCATTAATGCAAATACGATTGAAAGCACTAAAGTGCCTACAACTAGTTTCTTGGAAAATGGAATATTGCAAGGAAACACACAAGCATTTAATGCTCTCCAACTTTTCTGAAGGAAGCAACGGTCTTATTGTTCCTACTATAAATAGAAGGACATTTATTGCAAGCCAACAATCAAGCGAACCAATCAAATTTTCAAATAGAAGCAAGAAATTACGTGAAAGATCCTAAGCTCACAAACTCATTGTTCATACAATTTGTGCATTATATTCTAAGTGAAAAATCACAGTTGTGATATAGCTTGATTAGAAGTAAACTCTATTTCATTATCTGTAAAGATTAAACTCCTGTATTTGTTCCTTGAGAGACCAAGTTTGGTCAGATTTCTCAAGCAGACTAGGACTAGATTTAAGTCTTAGTAGTGTTAGTCACTTGTAAGATTACTTGTGCATTATTAGTCACAACAGTTGTTCTGTGTTTGTAATCAATTGATTATAGTGGATTAAGTTCTTGTTGAGAAAGGCGAAATCACCTTGGCGGGTGGACTGGAGTAGTTTGAGTTCAAACGAACCAGGATAAAAATAACTATGTTCTTCCATTATTGTTTGAGCTTTGTTTTGAAAATGAAAAGAGTCACTTATTCAACCCCCTTCTAAGTGTTTTCTTACCCCTTCAAAACATTTTTCACCATTTATTTTATGAGTTATGTTGTTGTTCAAAATTACTTTGACCTTTAAGGTTTGTTGTTAAGCTGAGATTTTAGGTTTTATATTGGTGTTTTTGTTGTTAAGATGAGATTATAGGTTTTACACTGTTGTTTTTGTTGAGTTTAAGTTATGTTGTTGTTTTTGTTGAGTTTAAGTTATGTTGTTGTTTTTGATGATACAAGCGTTGGACTTGGCTTCCTTCCTATGTGGAGAAAGACCCAAATATGAATAGTCCATTTGTCTCACTTATTTAAGTGGAGAATGTCAATTTAGGGTTAAGAGAGAAATAAATAAAAAATAAGGATTAAAAAGAGAGAAAAGAGGAGAGAAACTCATTCTCATTTTTTCTGTATCAGTCTCACTAAATCAACGATCCCTGATTCGTTAGCCATCAGATCAAGCTCAAATTTGGAAGGTAGGTTCACAACACCTATATCTAACTTTTGACCATTGGGATCTTCGAAATAAAGTCTGAGCTGAGAGATAATTGTTTGCACTGATGGTGCATATTTGGGTAATTTTTCAGCTTTTTGATTCTTATTTGTAAGCTAGTTTGCTTTGTGATTTGCGGTTGTTATCACTATTTTCTGAATCACTTTAAGACTCTCTTGTAACCTCAATTGATTATAGTGAAGATATTTCTTTGATCTGGACGACTCGTTATTTTCATTACACACTGAATTATAATTTTGTAGCTGTTACTGTTTGTTATGACTTAGTCTTAGTTTCTATTGGTCATGCGGTATTATAGGCTTGACAGTTATTGGCCATTACGTATATATAAATAGGCTACTGATATTGTACTAAGAATATAGAAAAATATTATGTTAATCCCATGTTTAGTTTTATCGTTGGTAGTCATTGGATAACTTTGATATGGTATCAGAGATAACAATATCTCTTGTTCCCCTCTTCTTTTTCCACTTGGCTTCTACCTTTATTTCTCACCACCACGTGTATGTTTCTCGTTTACCTTATCCAAATTCCATTATCTTCTTCGTTTGCCAATAATCTCTCTCTCTCTCTCTCTCTCTCTCTCTCTCTCTCTCTCTCTCTCTCTCTCTCTCTCTCTCTCTCTCTCTCTCTCTCTCTCTCTCTCTCTCTCTCTCTCTCATCTTCTCGTTTTCTTTCCATCCTCTGCTTTATCACTTTTTTTCTTAAAGATTCACACTCAAAGCATATTTCCGTCTTCTTCCTCATATTCCAAAGTTTCTCCGCAAAATCATCCTTTATTTCTCCCTCACAAAATCCTCCGATCTCTTCTTCTTATTTCTATCGCTTATGGCCGACCAACAATATCTAGATTTTGCTACAAACCCCTCTAACCCTTCATACATTCATCTAAATGAAAATCCAACCCTAATCCTTGTTTCTCCGCCCCTTGACAGCAAAAACTACCTCTCTTGGGCTCGATCCATGAAGGTAGCTCTTATATTCAAGAACAAGATATGCTTTATCGATAATAAATTCCTAAGACCTAACGCCAACAATTCTCTCTTTGATCCATGGGTTCGCTGCAACAACCTTATTCTCTCATGGATTCAAAGACCTGCTTCTAAAAAAATTGCTTAGTCGATTCTTTTGTTCGACAATGCTTCCACCATTTGGGAAAACCTTCACAATCATTTTTCTGAAGGAGATATATTTCGTCTTTCAGACCTTCAATATGATCTTGTGCGCTTGAAACATGGATCCCTTGACATCTCTACATACTTCACCCAGTTAACTTCCATTTGGGTGAAGATTTACACCTGTCGGCCTACCCGTGATTGTTCTTACGCCATCCCTTGCACTTGTAGTGCTCACTGATCTTCGCAAGTTTTGTGATCAAGATAAAGTTCTTAAGTTTTTGAAAGGGTTGAATGGACAATTTTCCCATGTTTGTTCTTAAATAATGATGATCAAACCTCTCCCTACTCTTGATAAAGTTTTTTCTCTTGTTCTTTGCCAAGAAAAACAACTCACAACGCCTCTTATCCAACCCTCTGAATCTGATCCTCCAACTCTAGCCTCTCAAATTCAACCTCTCCATAAATATGCTCGTAACTCTTCAAGAGGCAGGGGTCGCCACTATTATTCCAACGATCGTGGTCAACCTTCTACTAGGATTTGTACTCATTATGGTCGAAACAACCATATTGTCGACTACTGTTTCGTTAAACATGGTTACCCCCCAAGTTTTCAACAAAGAGGCAAACATCCTTCTGTCAATTCTACTTCTTCTGATCCTGCTTTCCACAACTTCTTATCCAAACAACACACATGATCAGTATACTCAACTTCTCAATCTTCTGCAACAATATCTTACAAAAAATGCTCTTACTACGACTACTCCTCTGTTTCAGATCTTAACTCACTAATCTCTTCAATGAGTAATGTCAACACTATCTTCTCTCCTCTTGGTAAGCATTTTACACCTTGGATAATTCACACTGGTGCCAAACACCACATAACCTATTCTCTTTCTAATTTCTCTTCTTATCATATTATTTCCCCTTTTATCATGAAAA